TATAATTTAAAAAAATAAGACATGCAGGCTACAATAAATAAATGCTACAAATTAGTGCAAAACTAGCTAGCTAGGGCTTATTGAATAAGACTACAATGTAAATACTAAATGTACATGTATCATACCAAACCAAGAAGCATTCCAACTGGTCTTGATGGTTCTGCACCAACTGATAGCCAGTACCTGGTAAGTTAAGTATATTCTCTTAGACAAGTATAAATCATAATAACCTTAAAATACATTATATGCTTCTGAGAACAAAAAGTGCCTAGTAGACTCTTGCTGTCTTGGAAGACCATTGGGACTAAAGTTTTCGTTTTTATCAAGAGGAAGTTACTGACTTGACTCTTCAATATCCAACTTACTTTTTGCGAAATGTGGTGCGAGTTATCGTAAGTCCCTCAAGGACATGTTGCACTGAGAAAGTAAACTTGCTATAGTCGCTCTCTTGCTCATTTGTTTTTATGAGTGTTGCCTTTGATTTAGCTAGAACAATTCATCCCGTTTTGTTTAAGTGAAAACTCAGCCAATTTCTTGGATATTCTCGTTCATTAAAGGGACACTGTCAATGGCACGCATGCGCGAGTAAACTTGAAAACATTAGGCTAGTGTTTTCAAGTTTATGACTCCAAGATGGTGCGACATAAATCAGCTTGTAAATGTAAACAGATCTAGGATATTCCAAAGTGTATCAAAAGCACCACAAAATGATTTTCCTCGAAGGTAACACTTTCAAAGTCTGTTAGAGGTGAGACTGTTACTGCGCATGTCATCCATTGACGGTTTCCCTTTAAGCAAGAATGATTTCAGCTCCCAAAGTGATATCAAGACCCATTTCCCCTGCCCACCCCCTATCAAGTCAGGTTATTGAAGGCATATTGAAATTCAGTCGGACTCTCTATCACTACATATGTCTTCTAAGAACTCTTTTTTTCATCTCAATATTAAACTGCACTGCTTCACGTGCGCATGATACTTACTTTATTCTGTCGATATTCAAGCTRACAAGTTTSTCGTTTCTTGTGTTTGGCATTGGATCAAATGTTCCGATCTAAAAAAAGGAATATTTAAACTTTATGAATAAGTTATAGTTCTCCCGAGTGGTTTTCCCTACCCTTGTGGAATGTTCAACTTACTTGYTCATAGTAGCCTCGRTTCCTAGCCTTCTTTCTGTGTGTTGCTATCAGGTAATAAAAAGGTCTATTCTTGCAGCCATATAAAGCTAATCGCAAAGCAACCGTAGCTTTTTTCATAGAGATAATAAAATGTATTTTACCTTCACCGAAACGATACAAGCATGGCAACTATCAAATCTCAGCAGGCGTTCCTTGAATTWAAGAGCATATGTCCAGGCTCTCGATGCCAGTCCGATTATTTTCCGACCACTTCTCGACTAAGTGACATATGTCACCAAACAAAATGGCGTCTGTGGCGGCGGCCTTTTCAAAATATAGTCAAATTATTTTTAATTCATAACGTAAAATCATCATTTTAYGTTTGATGAAATCCTTAGAGAAGTGAGTTAAACATTCATGAGCATGTAGTTGGGATGGATGAGTGAGATGCAAGCTTTTTGTTTAYGTTTATTTGGAATGTAACATGATTTTGGAAGTTGGCTGAAGCGCAAATCAATCAATCTACTCCCGGGGTCTACTATGAGAAGAACAAAAAAAGCCGAAGGACATCAGGTAATTTTAAGCGAAAGATCTAGCATTAGGATTGACTTTGTTTAGCATTAGCGTAAATATCTGTCAGACTTGCGAAGTTGCTTTTTCAGTGATACTACATGTACAGTATGTAATGCTGCTCATGAAATTTGATTAGGCCTAAATTAACTTAACATATTTTCCAGATCTGTGCTAATTTGCTGTCAGATGGAGCAATTCTTGACATTATAAAATCATTTAGAAGACTCGTGGAATCAAGCTATGGACCCCATGGAAGGTTATTTTTGATATTGTTTCAAGATTCTCGTTTTAAATTCATCTTCAACACTCCCAAGCACAGG